GTAACTTATGGCCCATGTTTGAGCATCAAAGCTCGTACTTGTCGTATGTCCACGTGTGCCAGCGTGTTCCAGCGTACTTTGGCGTGCTCATAACTTATACAAAACATGTACATAACTTATCCAACGTATGCCAGCATTTTTGCCAGATTTTGGGTACGTCAGGCATATGCTGGTCTAAATCATCATGGTGTGACAGAGGCTTGATACTGTGATGTTAGAAACTGCAGCCTCTATTGTGTTTTTTCTCATCTGATCCATTTTGTTACCAGGTAAAATCAAGGATGTGGTTCCTCAAAACATGGTGGACAACAGTGCCAGGATTATCCTGGTAAATGCTTTATACTTCAAAGGTTACTGGCATAAGCAATTTCTCAGAGACGACACTTCTACCAGAGAGTTTAGACTGAACAAGGTAAACCTGAGCACAAACATGAAGCATTGTTTTAGACATTTGGATTTTGTCAATTAGATTAAAATTAATCATTTACTGACCTTATCTTTTCTGTTTTATTTTACTGATTCACCTTCGTGTCTCCTTGCATTTTTTGCCTCTTAACTTTTATCTCATTACCAGAACTACAAAAAAAGTTGGACCAAACTAATATTAGCAACTGCTAAGAATTAAAATTATTTTACATTTTTTTAACGGATTTCTGCATCTTATTTAGTTTTTGTTTAATCAAACCAAAAGAGAAGAATGACTCGATTTTAACCAATTAAACAGAATGTCTGCCTTCACTATAAAGGACTTTTAAAATATCTCTTTTGGAAATAAAAATCCATCGATAAAGTGAATATAGAGGTCAATGTGTTGAAAATAATATGACTCTGCAGGACCCATGGTAAATACCTATTTATCCTTTTAGTTTTATACGAAAACTACACTATAAACTACCTCAACAGGCGTGTATCCCTTTAGTCATGTACAAAGAAACAGTTTAATTACTTACTTTATGGTGTTTTTTGAAGAGTATGGCGGTCTGACCTCAAATAGATTTTTTTGTTTCTGTCATGGTTTTAACTAAGATCTGACCCAAAAAGGCGGTAAACCAAAGCAGAAGACCAGGGAAAAAGTTTAACAGGTTTATTTAGGGGATTGTGAAGAATCCAGTGTTGCTCTGAACACTGCTCAACCGGAACTGAAAGGTAAGGGGAAGACACTGTTGTTAGTTCAGGCTCGGTGGGAAATTTGATTCTCGAAATTGAAGAGGAGAAATAGATTGCTGACTCACATTTCCAGAGAAGTTGTTGACTCTTTGATTCCAGTCTGTGTGCGGTAGTTCCAGTGTTTGTCTGATTCGGTGGAGGGCGGACAGGGTTTATCCAGAATGCGGTTGTTTGTAGGTGAACAGAGAAGCTGACTGCCACTCAGATTTCCTGCAATACTTGAACGGGTCGTAGTGGAGATTAATCCCTTGATCAGTGTGAAGCTCAAACGATCTCTGGAGGAAAAGTTGATTCAAACCTCCAATTTAAATCCTCAACTCAGCTTGAAGCTCAGATGATCCTTCCAGGGAGAGAAGGTCTGAAAAATCCAGTTTGCAGGATGACTTCCTGCCGAGAGGCAAAGACAGAAAAAAAAACAAGATTAAAACTCAGGTTGACAAGAACTCAGTTTGACTCAGCAAAACTCAGCTTGGCTAGAGTACCCCAAACTGGCAAACAGTGTGGCGTCGAGGTAGTGACAGTCAGCAGCTTAAGAGGCCCCAGGCGCCTCCTGGTGGAGGAAGGGAGACAAACAAAGAAAAAACACATACACAGACAGACTTCCTGACAGTTACATGACTAAAGGGATGAACGGTGATAAACTAAAGGGATAAATTGGGATAAACTAAGGGATAGACGGGACTAGCATACGCATATGCAAACCTGATGTGTTGCGCATGCATATTAACTATGAGTATGCTGGTCTGACGGGTATGTTGATCTGATAGAACAACAGTGATTTCAGCCAGTTCAGTTACTCAGCCAAAAAACTGAACAGAGACCAGGTAAACTTGCCTTGTCTTACCTTGATCATTAAAATTTAAAAAGGGCTAAAATCGATCCGATTTTTTTCTTTTTCAGAGAACAACAAAACCCGTGGAAATGATGACACAGGAATCCAAATTCCATTTTAACTTCATTTCTGAAGTCAGCTGTAAGGTGAGGAACCATGTAATCAGTCTGCCCCAGTGTTGTATTCTTTAATGATTTCATCTATCTTTTAAAATAGACTCAATAAAATTACAGCAAAAATACCCTATTTGTTTCTGTGTCCTTTGTTTTATTTAATGTCTAAAACTTGCTATACAGATCCTGGAGATGCCTTACAGAGGGGAGGAGATGAGCATGATCATACTTTTACCTAAAGATATAACAGACAATACAACAGGTCTGGAGCAGGTAGGACTCTTATTCTCACAGATTGGTAAAACTCAATATCTAGGCTGAAACATCTGATGATCGACATTTCATCCATCAAGCTGGAGGAACATCTGACTTATGAGAAACTCAACAAGTGGACTCATCCAAGCAAGATGAGACGCCGCAAGATCAGTGTATCGCTGCCTCGATTCAAGGTGGAGGAGAATTATGATTTGGACAAAGTCCTGAGCCGCATGGGCATGGTGGATGCTTTTGATGAGACAAAATGTGACTTCTCTGGTGAGACGTGCGGCAGGAAAGATGATACAGATGTAGTTTGGTTGACTGTTAGAATAACGAATCGTGCAGAGGTGCTGAAGCAATGACCTCTGCCATATTTTTGATTTATGTAACATGTTGTCTGTTGTTTAAGGACAAGCTATGATTTAAATTATTTAAAGTCGTAGGGAATCGGCTGTTCCAACCAATTCTCCTGAGTGGTGCCCGAATTTACAGGAGTGAGTAAAGAGAATGTGATTGGTCGTTTATCAAGGGGTCGGAGTTGTTGTGGCTGAAGGTTTGCAAGCAAGTTTAATTGTGACGGGTTTATCTGGAGCATTTTGGCGACCAGTTAGCAACTTAGTGCTAGTAGGTTCCCAATGGGAAATTCCATTGGGACCAAGCGGCACTAAATTGGTGACTTAGAAACGACACTGTCAAGGAAAGCTATGGTCAGCGGAAACATGCAAGAGGAGGAGAGTTTAGTGTCAGAGGTCGTGGATGAGTCTCCTTCATCATATATTTTTATTTAGAGGAGGAAAGCGGGGGCGAAACGGTTGTGGAAGAGGACGCCAGGGCGGCAGAAGCTTGGTTTGGTGTAGAAGGCTTACAGCCGTACATGTTTGAGCCCTTGCCTCGCAACACTGCAGTTCTGTTAGCTCTATGCCTGCCTAAGACACATACGTCAATCACGGT